CGCGGCTAACTTCATTATGTTACTTTTGTGTTACAGTGATGCGCGCGCATCTTAAAATTTCACTCTCATAATTTTTTCATAACGCGGCTAAAGAAGTATAACTTCAAAAAAATGAGCGTGAAGTATTTGAAAAGCTTCGGCGGTCAAAAATAACAAAATAAAATCGAAAGTGTTAGCGTTTACCAAAGCATTTCCGTCAGGCGAATGGCCTCCAGATCTTTTAAAATTTATTTATATTAGTTTATTATTTCTTTAATTTAACGACAGAAAATTTTGCTAGACAAAAATCCACGCAGACGAGGCGGCAGACGGGACTCGAACCCGCACCCTCTGCAATCCGGGCAGATGTAATGACCCATTATGCTACCGCGGCCCTGATGGCCGTGTCGACCTGTCTCTAGTATTTGTTAAGCTTCAAAGCAGCGCATTCTCTTCGCATTGTAGGTAACCCACAATATGAAATGAAGTAACTTTACAAGTATTTAAAATTTGAATAAAGAAATAGTAATTCTAGTTTTATTTTTATTTTTAAGCAATTAACAGTAAATCTAAAGAAAATTTTACTAGAAAAATATTTCACGCGGCTCAGGCAGCATACGGGACCTGGACCCCCTCCGCAATATGGGCGGATGCACTGACCAATTATGCTACCGCGGCCCTGACGGCCATGTCGAATTTTCTCTAGTATTTCTTAAGATGCAAAACAGCGCCATCTCTTCGCATTATAGGTATGAATTTCTTTCATGACTTTACCATTTAATAAAAACGCTACATTTGTATTCTACATTGCGGCGAAATTAGTTTCTTTCGCGATAAAAAAACAATGGAGGAATGAAAAAGGGGCTGTCATAAAACTGCCAACCCTTAACCGCCCACGTTACAGTAAACACGTACGGAAAGTAAAGTTTCGGCGTGTCTCTTTCTGCAAGGCGAAATTTAGAACTTATGTTTGCCAAGGACTTCATAATATCCAATTATACCGCCTCCACACACAAGTGGTTTGTTTAATAAAACACTCTAGCGAACGAGTTAAGAACCGCTTTCATTCTCAGAATGACAAATTCTCAAGAGCACCGATTCTCGGAAGTTTGTAAACGATATTGTGTTGAACCGTAACAATGGCACACAACATTCTAAACAATTTGGGGTTAGAACACACATACTCAACCTTTTTTATGAATGTCTTGATGTTGATAGCGACTTTCCTTTGAGTGTGCGCTGCGTTAAAAGTGAGCACTGAGCGGGCGACCGCTCGGAGCGTTTATACTAAGCGGACGCCTGCTCCCGCTTAACGCAGCGTAGGCTCTAAATCAAATTTAAGCTTAATCCTACTGAAAACGTGTTTACATCCCCACTGCTGGGATACGTGCATTTACCGTCGATAGAATAGGAAATTCAATAGATTATTCATTTGCTAAATACAATAAAAGAATTTTAATCCTGTAGTAAATTATAATTTTTATTTTTTTTAACTTACTCTAAAGAAAATATAACTAGAAAAAATTCCATGCGGACCAGGCAGCAGACGGGACTCGAACCCGCACCCTTCGCAATCCGGGCGAATGCACTGACACAAGTGATGCGTGAGGGCCGCGGTAGCATAATTCTGTAGACTGTTCTTAAGACTGTAGTCAATTGTTTTAAAGTCAAACAAATAAAATGAGAAAAGTTTACTAGAAAAACAATCCACGCGGACCAGGCAGCGGACGGGACTCGAACCCGCACCTTTCGCAATCCAGGCGAATGCACGGACCATTATGCTACCACGGCCCTATTCGCCGCGTCGAAATTTTCCTAGCCTTAAGCTGCAAGGCAGCGCCATCTCTTTGCATTGTAGGTAACCTATAATGTCAAATGAATACTTTTTCAAGTATTAAACATTTGAAAGAAGAAATAGCAATTATAGTTATGTTTTTAGAAAAAAATCCACGCGGACCAGGCAGCGGACGGGACTCGAACCCGCAACTTTCGCAATCCGGGCGAATGCACTGACCATTATGCTACCACGGCCCTATTCGCCGCCTCGAAATTTTCCTAGCCTTAAGCTGCAAGGCAGCGCCATCTCTTCGCATTGTAGGTAACCCATAATCTACTATATAAAAATAAGTCGGGTTTTCCTTCCTGACGCTATAACTCCAGAATGCACGAACCGATTTCCACGGTTTTGCATTCGTTGGAAAGGTCTCGGGCTCCGTGAGGTTTATAGCAAAGAAAATTCAGGAAAAATTAAAAAAAAAAATTTTTAATCACAAAACGAAATGTTACATAAAACGAAGCCATCTGATGGCGAAACGGAGTTTGCCTGGTTGGCTAGTCTACTATATAAAAATAAGTCGGGTTTTCCTTCCTGACGCTATAACTCCAGAACGCACGAACCGATTTCCACGGTTTTGCATTCGTTGGAAAGGTCTCGGGCTCCGTGAGGTTTATAGCAAAGAAAATTCAGGAAAAATTAAAAAAAAAATCGTTTTCTTTTAATCACAAAACGAAATGTTACATAAAACGAAGCTATCTGGTGGCGAAACGGAGTTCGCTGGGTTTGCTGGTGTCAAATAAATACTTTTTCATCCCACCACCTCGGAAAGTGTAATTTTGCGCTTCGAAATCTGGCTGGAAAATTCTATTTTATTCGCTTGAGCGGCAAAGTAGATTTGAATTTAGAACATCACATATAATGAGTACTCAATATAATTGTAAATTCAAAACGTCATTAAACCTATTTAATGTAACCTCTATGGTGCCAAATTTATGATTAGAACTTTTTAAATTGTGAAAAAATTTAAATTTGGAACCTTCTTGGTTTCTTTGTTTTATTTGCGTGCTTCGCGCCATTCTAGTTTTTCACGTTTTATTGCTTAAATATTTTGTCATTATAAATTGTTTTCTTTTTCATTTTGTCATTTCCTCGCTGAGGTGGGATGAAAAGTTACGTATTGCACTCGAGTGGAAAGATTTTTCACCTTGTGCTCGTTTGTTTCCCTCGCTGACGCTCAGGATTCTAATTTAGAATCACTCGCTGCGCTCGTGATTCAACTTTAGAATCCTTCGCTTGCTCGGTCATCCAAATCGAGCACGCGGTTAAAAAGGAACTTTCCACTCTTGTATAATAAATAACTATTTCAAGTATTAAACATTTGAAAGAAGAAATAGCAATTATAGTTATGTTTTTCAATTTCAATTATTGTTATGTCAGTGCATTCGCCCGGATTGCGAAAGGTGCGGGTTCGAGTCCCGTCCGCTGCCTAGTCCGCGTGGATTTTTTTTTCTAGTAAACTTTTCTTTAGATTTAAACATCTAGCAGTTAAATGCTTAAAAATAAATAAAAACATAAATAAAATGAGGTTTGAACATATTTTTTTTTACAAATTTCATTTAACAAGATTGGTCCAAAAGGGGCTTTTATTTATGAGAAGGATAACAGCGTTTACATATATGAAACATAGTGTATGAAAACAGAACAGAGTATTAAAAAACTCAGAAAGATTACTAAACGGCTATGGTGAACTTAATAGTTACTTAAGATACGTTTACCAGTTGACATGTATACAGATGTACATCAATATACTGTCACAAACACTCTCGAAACGGAACCGCGAAAGTGCTAGAGATCGAATGTGCCAGAGCACCGCGGGTCGCGATAGAGGTCGAGTAAAGCGGCTCATTCTAAAATGAGCCTTATGCAGTACGACGTATGGGAGAAAGTGTAACGACATCTGCACTTGTTTACAAGTTATGCGCGTTAACTGCGTAGGTATAAGTAGGTACTTTGTACTCGCGGGTGCTAGCTAATTCTCAATTCAACGGGTACTTTCTAGAATGCGTCGATCGGTGTATAGAAGTGCGATTGGCGCCGCGCAGAGACAGTTGAGTTTCAACAGCGATTTCTGAGCGAATCCAAAGGCGATCAAAGTGCAACAAAAGTGTTCAAGTTCAATTGTTTAAAGACTTGTATAGTGAAATACAGTGTTTAGTGAGTGTTTTGTGATTAACATTGAGTGTTAATTGTATAAACTGTGTGGCGAATAAAGAACTGTCAAGCGTGAACTGGCATATAATTTCGAACCCCATCCCGACACGTAACAATACCAATCAGCAACGATTGTTAAATTAACAACATTGCTTTTCTAATACTCTGCTTGAACATCATTATTATAATATATGGGTACTTCAATAATTTGTAGGATCATTACGTCGTATTTGCGTATTGAATGTTACCTTTCAAACACTTATCGAACTATATAAATTAGCAGTATAATATAACGAAGGTGCTCACTCAACATATTAATTTGGTTTCGTCGTAACAATAGCTTGTATATTAATATTATCATTAACGTTTCATAAGTACTTCCAAAACTAATTAAATTCTCAAGATTAAGATTATTAGTCATGTCTTTGCAGAAATATACACATTCCTCGGTACTGAAAGCCACACAATAAGAAACAACAAACTGTAAATTTTTCAAGAGTTAGTGATTTTAATTTTTATGTTTTTTAAGCATTTAACAGCTAGATGTTTAAATGTAAAGAAAATTAGGTTAGAAAAATATTCCACGTGGACCAGGCAGCAGACGGGATTCGAAGGCGCTGCCTTGCAGCCTAGGAAAGATTAGAAAAAAATTGACACTGCCATCAGGGCCGCGGTAGCATAATGGTCAGTGCATTCACCCCAAAGCAAAGGGTGCGGGTCCGAGTCCCTTCTGCTGTCTGGTCCGCGTGGAATTTATTCTACCAAAATTTTCTTTACTTAGTGAATTTTTATCAAACCTTACATAAAACTCAAATTAGATCAAGAAATTTCAACAGTTATTTGATTACTTTACATGAGTGTCTATACTTTGGTCCTGTACTCAATAAGGCATTGCTTGTTTTCTGTGTTAAATACTCGATGCTGGGTGGTGCAGTTAAATCCGATTCTTTTAAACACTATGCAGAGTCCCAATCAAGTAAAGTATCTTTTAATGTGCTCAAAATAAAATTCATGATAGTTTTATGAATCTCAGGAACCCCATAAAGCGGACGGTGAGGGAGTCCCCCTGCGACGTGGGCTACGCGTACATCCCCATAGCGTTCGTGCTGCTCCTATACCTGGTCTATCTGGTAGAATGCTACCATAGCACGGCTAGAATACAGCTGGCGAGGCGGGTGGATGTTGCTGCTGTCAACGCCAGGGTTCATGCTATGAGGACTGCTACGCCCAGAGTTTGGTAAGAACATTAATAAACTGAAGTATCCTCAAATAGTGTTTATGCTGCTCTTATACCTGGTGAAATGCTACCATAGCACGGCTAGAATACAGCTGGCGAGGCGGGTGGATGTTGCTGCTGTCAACGCCAGGGTTCATGCCATGAGGACTGCTACGCCCAGAGTTTGGTAAGAACATTAATAAACTGAAGTATCCTCAAATAGTGTTTATGCTGCTCGTATACCTGGTGAAATGCTAACATAGCACGGCTAGAATACAGCTGGCGAGGCGGGTGGATGTTGCTGCCGTCAACGCCAGGGTTCATGCCATGAGGACTGCCATGCCCAGAGTTTGGTAAGAACATTAATTAACTGAAGTATCCTCAAATAGTGTTTGTGCTCCTCCTATAACTGGTGAAATGCTACCATAGCACGGCTAGAATACAGCTGGCGAAGTGGGTGGATGTTGCTGCCGTCAACGCCAGGGTTCATGCCATGAGGACTGCTACACCCAAAGTTTGGTAAGAGCATTAATAAACTGAAGTATCCTCAAAGTGTTCGTGCTGCTCCTATACCTAGTCTGCCTGGTGGAATGCTACCATAGCACGGTTAGAATACAACTTGCGATGCGGGTGGACATAGCCGTGGTGAACGCCAGGGCTCATGTTACGAGGACTGCTACGCCCAGAGTTTGGTAAGAACATTAATAAACTGAATTATTCTCAAATAGTGTTCGTGCTGCTCCTGGTCTACCTGGTAAAATACTACCAAAGCACGGTCAGACTACTACTGGCGAGGCACGTAGATGTCGCTGTCATCAACGCCAGGGTTAATGCCACCAGGACTGCTATACCTAAAGTTTGGTGAGAGCATTTATAAACTGGAGTATCATCAAAGTGTTCGTGCTGCTCCTAGGTATACCTGGTCTGCCTGGTGAAATGCTACCATAGCACAGCTAGAATACAGCTGGCGAGGCGGGTGGTCATAGCCGAGGCGAGCACCAGGTTCATACCACGAGGACTGCTACGCCCAGAGTTTGGTAAGAACATTAATAAACTGAATTATCCTCAAATAGTGTTCGTGCTGCTCCTGGTCTGCCTGGTGATATGCTACCAAAGCACGGTCAGAATACTACTGGCGAGACATGTAGATATCGCTACTGTCAAAGCCAGGGTTCATGCCACCAGGACTGCTATACCTAAAGTTTGGTAAAAGCATTAATAAACTGAAGTATCATCAAAGTGTTCGTGCTGCTCCTATACCTGGTCTGCCTGGTGGAATGCTACCATAGCACGGTTAGAATACAGCTTACGATGCGGGTGGACATAGCCGTGCTGAACGCCAGGGCTCATGCTACGAGGACTGCTACGCCCAGAGTTAGGTAAGAACATTAATAAACTGAGTTATTCTCAAATAGTGTTCGTGCTGCTCCTGGTCTACCTGGTAAAATCCTACCAAACCACGGTTAGACTACTACTGGCGAGGCATTTAGATGTCGCTGTCGTCAACGCCAGATTTCATGCCATGAGGACTGCTACGCCCAGTTTGGTAAGAACATCAATATACTGAAGTACCCCCATAGCGTTCGCGCTGCTCCTTCATCTGATTAAGTGCTATAACAGCACGACTATAATACAGCTGGCAAGGAATATGGATGTAGCTGCAGTCAACGCCAGGGTCCATGACATGAGGACTGCTTTGCCTAGACTTTGCCAGAATATAAATATCATTCCGCTTGACCTTAGACCTCATTCCCGAAGTATTCTTCTTATACCTGGTATACCTAACAGAGTACTACCCCTGCATGATGTCAATCCCAGTAACCTTGCCAAGAGAACACGGGGAGAGACACTTATTTTTACAATGCGTAAAACTGATTTTTTTTGTCATTCATATGAAGTGGAATAAGTAATTCCCATATCGAAAATATCATAACTATTATCTCTAAACTAAATGAAGGATAATGGCGGAATAGCGGCAGACGCGAGCCTGGGGTGTGCTGTTGCATTATTAATGAAAACAAATGGAAGGAGGCCTTAACTATTGTGCTGGAACGCATGAATACAACAAGTGTAAAAAATACTAACATCTTCAGACCTCCCATAATTATGATTGAACTCCACATAGAAATTAGTTCATTTTAATCGTTTACTATTTATAATTATTTTTTTAAATGTGGCAAGCAAATCTTCGTCCCGTCTATTTTGAACATTATTAACATGTTAAAACTATGTAGACGGCTCTTGGAAACCATTATACTGACGAATCGATTCTCATTCTTTCCGTTGTGTGTAGGTGGAAAGCGATATGTTACCACTACGTGAGACGTAAGAGGCAAGTGACCCGCTACAGAAACGGTGACGCGTACACCACCACGCAAGTAAGTGTTGACATGAAATGAATGAAAAATTCTTGGGTATCATAACAATAACATGAGATTAAAATAAAAATACTTATTGATCTATAGACGGCCAATCAGGGTCCTGCCTCAGCATAAGCTGACATAGTGAGAAAATACTTCTCTCACCGTGTCAGTGCTGATATTGATATTATTATATAATTAGTGTTGTGTTATTTTATTTTTATTTACATTTTTTAACCGTTAGATGATTAAATCTGAAGAAAATTTTACTAAAAAATAACCACTTGATTTTTATTTCTGTGCTGTCAAGGTTTCAGATCGGATTCGCATCAGCATCTTTCACCCTCACCATCTTGCCGCCTGGATAGCGGGATATGTGGGTTCGAACCGTCTGAAACCTAGACCGAGTGGAATTTTGGAAGTGATAACTTCTGATGGGAGTGTAAACCGCTTCGTTACGTAACGCGTTACGGCACCAGTCTGTCTGGCTTCCCTTCCTCTCACGCATACGGCAGCGTTAGGCAGGCTACTCCTCTCTCACTCTAACTCGCAGCGCCGCTTAAAGTATTTTAAGTTATCACTTCTGTCGTGCGCCCCGAGGCACACACGCTTTTTTTCTAGTAAAATATTCTTTAGATTTAAATGTTGTAGTCTTTGGATGATGAGTATTTTATTATTGTCATTATAAATTCTCTCAACTCATAATTTTATAAATTCCATAAACCAAATGCTGTCATGAATCTATAAGATTATAACTGAGTTTCATATCAGTACAATAGCATCAATAGTAGCGCTAAGGAATTAATAATAAAACTATTCACCGTTTGGTATATTCATGAATCTAATAAAAAATATTACAAAACATAATATCCACTCCAGTCCAGGTTGGAATAATATTTTGAACATTTATCAACTTTATTTATCTCCAGAGACAAGATAAACGTTTAAAAATAAATTACAATCGACTACAATAAAAATATTCATCCAGCTGTGAAATCGTTTTTCATCATGTCATTACATACCTACATATACATACGTTACATAACATGTACGTTAATAAAAAAAACGATTATCCTCGTAAAATCTCTTGGATTCCACGAGGGTTGTAATTAATACGACACGTCCTGAAATGCGAAAATAATTAAAAGTTGCATTTTAAATACGTAAACATAAACTTTGTACGTACTTTGTTTATTAAAAAAAAATATTCAAAAATGGATTCTTTTAAAGAGGCTATACAATGGACACTGCTATGATTGAGGAGAGAGGGAGAGAAATATGAATGGTACACTATTCTTCTTCCATACTTCCACGACGAAGCGAACTAAAATGCACTAAAATTAGCGTTCTATATTTTAGTAAGTTCCATCGTATTGTATAAGTCGCGGCGCGAAACTCGAGCGCTGAGCGCACGGTGTTGCTTATATATAACTTAGTTACTAGTCGCGTCATGTAATTAGAACGCTGGAAGAAAGTGGAGAGGGTATGTTTGCGCATTTGCTTACACTCGCGCACCAAAGTACTATGGCTCTATACTAAATTGTTTATCGATACAAAATATCGATATTTTCTAAAATCGATCTTACCCTCATCACTTCGCTGCACTGAGTATATGATCTGACCTTGACGCATCCAATCACAACGGGGCTGACCTCCCTGCACACCACCGACTTTGGCGATTTTGATTCCAAACAAAATTTGTGTGATGCGGACTCTAGTGGGGGTGCTCCATGGCTGACCGTTATTGCGCAGAAGTAAAAATTAAGATGTGTTGGGGGGAAGCGAGGTGCGCGGGTGGGCATGCGTTGCGCCGATTGGCTCTCCAGTCGTACCCAGGCGCAGCTGTCCGTCCTTTTGTTCAGCACTACAGTTACGTGCTGCGTCCTGTACGTTCTTTCAGCTGCACCACATGAGTAAAGAAACGTACAGTCGGTTTTTTTTCTTTGAAGAGTGCACATACAAATATATTGCCTCTTACAACCCTTTTATGCCTGTCAAAAATCGCCAATCAGGCTTGATTGATAGCTAACGCTAAAGCTAATAGCTAACGATAGCTATCGTCTGGCGTCTATAGGCACGCAGCCAATGAATTATATCATTACAATAGGTAATAAATGTACCAAGATTTGTCACGCAGGACTGACAACGCATTAGAAGAATATTCTTAACCAGCAAACCATGTTGCATTTACCAAAATCATGACTATAGAATAATGTCGACGTTTAATGGTATCCTACCCACCTAATAATGGATATAGAACTTTGAGCACCATCAACTCTGCTGTAATACCGAACTGTGCTCCATAAATCATACATCAATCACCTTACGCGATACATTCAATATGTTCCCTCCCATCACGATAGGCGTGTTATTATGACATCTACGAGCTTATCACAGATGAGGACATGCCAAACTGCAACGTTAAAATCTCTTTCGACGATTTATTTGTATTTTTTTTTAATTAAACAACGTCTTTTGTTGTCTTTATTTTATTTCATAGGTTTAAAATGAGTTAGAGCTCATCAGTATCGAAATAATTCATACTTAGGCCAAGACATCAGTAATATGGTGACTGCGAGGCGAGCGAAGGCGCAGTACAAGCAGAGTGACAACATTTACAGTGTGGCTACCAGTGCCGTCTTTGACCTATTGTAGGCCCTGGGCATATTAGGATAATGGGGCCCCTATGACTTCCGTTTGGTGATTTAACACGAACTAGGGACTTTGTATTTGATCTGAGGGGGCCCCCTATCGATCGCGGGGGCACTTGCCCAAAGTGCCCAATGGGAAAGACGGGTCTGGTGGCTACCGATATGTGTTTTTAAGAGTTTGTTTTCAGCAAATCGCCGTCACTTCGCAGTCGCCGTACCAATGCGGCCTGGGCCTTATTGCAAATGCGAAAATAACGTGAGATCCTTTTCTGTACAGTAACAGTCATAAAGAAATTTATACTAGACATCTTCCACTTGGTCCTAGACGAGATTATCTAGTATTATTTTTTAGATTTAAACATCAGCAGTTAAATGCTTAAAAATATAAATACGATAAGTAGTAATCATGTATTAATTGCGTTTAATAATTTAGACTTTTGTCTCTGATATTTTGATTAAAGCAGAGGCAACAGAAAAAACTATTATTTATGATTATTACAGATATATATATTTGCGTTTACCTTCTGTCCGTAAGTACTATTTGGTATTTAATGCTTTAGTAACTATCAAAAGGTGAATTATTTAAACACAATTGATAAACTATGTTTATGTAAGCTTAACAGAACAGACACCCTGATGCTTAGACGGAAAGATCCTGGGTCCAGTTAATTTAGTATATAAATATATACTAATAATATATTATTTCAACATATTTATTAAGTTATATTTTTTTAAATATTTGACTGTTAGATGTTTCAATCTCAAAAAAATACCAGAAAGAAACTGCCTTGCAGCCTATGAAATACTAGAGAAAATTCGACACACGGTAGCCTAATGGTCAGTGCATTCGCTCGGATAACGAAAGGTGCGGGTACTAATCCCGCTTGCTGCAAGGTCCGCATGGCATTTTCTCTAGTAAAATTTTCGTGAAATTTAAATCTCTCACTAGGTATACTACGAAAGAGTTAACACGCACAGCGCGAGCACATCATTCGCGCATGCGTGCTGCGGGCAGCGAGACGCGTCTAGAAACCTGGTGCTGGACTCCAAAACTCCGATCACAAAGGTCCGGTTTAGCAAAGGTTTCGCTTTTGCCAACATAGAGGCCGCTAGTGGTGAGTATAACGGTACTGGAACAGTTTTTATTTTAACTATTGACGTTTTATACGTCAATATGTTAATCTATTGACGTATAAAAACAATTAGCGCCTGACGTATTGCCTGACAAAAGTGCATCGAAAATGCCCGAGGGGCGTTCTACATCAGCTTCTACAAATGACATTAGCACATTTGTTCAAATTAACACGTTATGTGGTGGTAGTAAGGTTTAATGTCAATTGTACGCGAGCGAGAATTTTTAAACACGTCTGTTTAAAAATTAAGCACATAGACGATTGAGCGTAATTATGCATTCGACACTATTCGAACGCGATTGTGTGTCAAATTGTTTTTACACGTCATTGAAATTAACCTATAAATATCACCTGGAGACGTTATTTGACTTACCACGAAATAAGTTAGCCGGGTCACGGGTTACGCAGACAAAAAGTTCTGTTGATTACGGCTGTCGTCAAAGTAATCTGTGGTCCAGCATGTTGTCTCTTTTTCGAATACCACCTTCCGTTATGATTCAACTTTACTACTGAAACTAATAATAATAAATAATAATATAACTTAATTCCTCACCACAAATGACATGAAAGCATTAACAAAATCTTAAATGAATCATTTATAATTGTTGTCACACTTTGGAGATTGGTGCCCGTGTAAGTCAAGAAACCTGTGTTCAGATTTGCCGACGCTACTATTTTTAGACACTAGAAGTCTGATAATTTCGAAAGATTGTTTGCAACAACTGTCAAAACAAGCCTCAATTTATCTTTATATATATTTATTAATTATAATAAGTTTACTCCCGCTTTAGGTCTGAAAACAATGTAGATTTATTACGTAGGCCGTAGGGGTAGAGCGGCTCTTACATATATCGAATTAGAGACGATTTTGAGTGATTGTGAAGCCACATTAAATAGTCGACCCCTAACACAAATATATCTGATACTGATTCTTTAATTCCTCTCACTCCAATGAATTTTTATGCATGATAATGATTTTGACGAGATTGATAGTAAAAGCTCTTCACCTAATAACCAAAATCGACTCTAGCCAGTGCAGTTCCACAGTGGCCAAGGCTTGTTGTATAGTACTTTTATTACAACTCAAATAATGCGCTTATTAAAGCCAAGTAATACTTAGGTTATCGAAATTCTGAAAATCAATTACAAACAAGAATCATTTTTCCCGTGTTAAAATTTTTAATTGGTTTTTTTTAGCATAAACAGCTCTTTAATTTGAAATCAGTTCGGAATTTGAATAAAACCCTTGATGATTTACCTCCTTGGTTATCATGTTTCGGAGTTAAAATTAAATTATGTTGGAAATATTAAATTATTAAATATTAATATGCAGTTTCAAACAACTCTTGCCGACCGCTGCTCGCATGTATGCGGCCAGTACTCCAATTTCGATTTATATCGCAGGAGGTCGATAAAATAATGATCACATTTCCAAGCATCTTTGAGAAAAAAATGTTTCTAACCAGTATAATGATTTCAGAATTCGAAGACCAAAGATCCAGGTTCTTTGCTGAACATGAACGATTCGACGACTTCATGGAAATGCGTGAAGGGCTGGACCTAATCGGAGTTAGTTCATTCAAAGAATACATGGTAGCCTACAGGTAATTGGTAAAAAGATAAAGAAATCTTCAAGTTCATGCATGATTTCGTCAGATTAAAATGTCTCATGTTTACAGGGAAGCTGACAGCTGTCCGTGGTACTCATCACAATTACTTTTCTGGACACTATCTTGTCTTCTACTTTCCTGGCCCCTTCGTATTCTTATTGAATGTAACACAGCCTACGTGCATTATACGGTACAATCTTCATTGTTAATATAAAAAAGTAGACTTAATTATGTTTCTTAGATGTATCTAAAAATTATATCTTTTTCACAGATTACCAAAATATTTGGAACCAACTATGAGCTTGATCCAAGTAGACAGTTGGATTTGGACACTCATTTGTCCGATACATTGCCTCCAGTAACAGCTACGAATTACGCTTGGGCACTAGCAGACGAGCAGAGTGCAGTTCTTTCTTCTGCCCCCCGTCCACCCCGCACTCTCCCTCTATCACACGCTTCTACTGTTGACAGTCTGGAGCTGTTCGCTGCCATACGGGGCAACTGTGCCTTAGTTCCTTCTTACTCAGAAGCTATGCGCATCGACGCTGCCCTGAGAGAGGAACCCTCGGAGAACGTCAACACTGCAGTCACAATAGACATAGAACCATCCCAAAGACCCAGCAGAGCTGCGGTCAAGGCTGCCTCGTTTGACGAGCCAGCGAGAAGACCTAGAGTCACTATAGCTAGTACGCATTCCAGTAACAATATTGCTGGCTCCGCAAGATCCAACGAAGCCAAGCAACAGAACAGACGGTCTTGGGCCGGCGTTCTAACAAACACACGAAGTGCCAGACAGATTTTAGAAGAATTCAGAACGTCCAATGAGGTCAATTATGAAGCCATGCCTGAATCTCGACCATCAAATGGCGAGGCTACTTTGTATTATTCTAGTGAGTTGTCGCCGACTTGTTCGAGAGATCCGTTCGGTGGTCGAGCACAAACGACGCCAACCGACGAACCACCTTCATATGAGGAGGCTTTAAGATTACCAGCGTTAAGGAAACTCACCAGATCTATAACTGGGACCGAATTAGCCGGACCTAGAAGAGCTTTTTTGCGAGATGTTCTGGCTAACAGGCGGTCATGTTTAGAAGGTGTGGGAGTACTATCTGGAGCTAAAGTAGTAAGGTTACCATTTTCTGAACCCGGGGATGAAACACCACTTTAGCGCTTCTATAATACAATTAACTTTTTATGGTGCAATAAAATATGTTATTAAGAGCTCGTTTAGCTGATATGTGTTTAATATATATTAAGGTCCTACAGTGAGATAATATTCTACGCGTTAAAATAAATTACAAAGCTTCAGAACTACTCTAATATTCTGAGGATGAGCTTGAGCAATTAATAGTATTCATTAGTTGAAGACAAACGGGACTAAAGACTTCCTACGCAAAAATGAATAGCGGTAAGTAGGTATTTTCTAGAAATGTATAGAGGCTTTGTAAGGTTTTTAAATGAAAATTAACTAATAATGGAAACCGCATTTAACTCTGACCTACTTTTAGGACCATTATAAATAAATAAAAAAACCTTTTTAAAAAAGTTCAAATTATTTTCTACCTCTTAAGATTCCACTACAATAAATCGAAATTCGCACACCGGTTCCCCCTCATGTTGTACAGCAAATTTTATTGCGCCCAATATGTCAGAATTATCGCGTTCACATCGGGGCGCTGCCTGTAATTATGTAAATGAGAAAAACGCCTGTATAGTAGATTTAATAAAGTATTTTCCCTTGAACTGCGGAGCATCAAAAACAGGAAAATTAAATATTATCTTTCGATCTCTTGTAATGCCATATTATAATGGCATTTTTCGATTAACAATCTACAAGGCTTTCTGTTCTAAGAGGTATTACGAAACATTCTAAGTGTACTTTTATTGAGAAATTATTTTCAGTAAAGATATGATATTGGTATTCTATTAACATTGAGCTAGGGTGCTTGATTAGAGGCTTATCCATAAAGCGACAATCCAGACAGAGCATATAAAGTGGCTCCTCAAATAACTACCTATCGTGGATAAGTCTTATAGATTACTTAAGTAAAATTAAATACTATACTGTTGGAATTGAAGTGATTGACACTTCACATATAATGACTAGTATCATTAAATAAAACAAGTTTTTAACGGGTTAGATGTACTACTAATTTATTTATTGAAGTTTCGCATCCTTTGCAGGAATGCGTCGTCAGAATGTATCATTAGTTTAGCTTTGTAATTGTTGCTGCTTAATATCGGTTAGTGAAAAGAGTACCAGGCCAATATACGATTAAATAAACAGTCATTTGAAGATTTAATTTTAATATTAGTAACTCATTGAGATCTTCTCGATATTTAGGAAACTGACAGATAAAAACGACAACAGTACCCCTAGCACGAACCATTATCGAATTCGAATAGTTTGGAAACCGAAAAGTCAATGTCAAATTTTGTATGGAAACTTGAACAGCAGCGGCACAAAGTACGTAACAATAACTAAATATTAAGGTTATTATTATTATTATTATTATTATTATTATTATTAGTACACATTTGACAAAGACATTTCGGACTCGCAAACAATACGAATTCGATATTGGTTCGTGCTAGGGGTACAGATAGCCAACCAAACTACATAATAAGAAATCTTTCAATATTTTGTACTGTTTTTAAATATAATTTCAAAATGTTCTTGGATATTGTCAATAATATGTATACGCAATCACATTAATCGATTTTCGAGCGATACGACATATTTACAATAAATTTGTTGTTTTCCTTACACCCATTTTTTTGCAAATACACATATATTACCACAGTGAAATTCAAAAATACGTCGTAATTATTATGAAATACTGTGTATATAGAATTGGTTTGTTTACACATGTAATACCTGTAGGTATAGGGCAGTGCCTTATATCGTCGTTAGTGACAACTGATGTATTGAAACTATGAAATTAAGACATTGTTTCTTATGAAAATTAGTTAAATTAAGATGATTATAATATATCATATTGATAAAAGATCTTTATTAGTAAGCCATTCTTTACATTTTTTTATTACTTAATAAATAAAAAAGTTTGTATTGTTCGAGCAAATTCAAAGGACCGGAATTCAAGTAAAAAAAATACAATTTTTTTTTTAAGAAACAGTGTCTTATAAAGTAATTAGTAGATCTACGCACCATCTAGATTAATTGTTAATTATTAAATCATGATATAAAAGCAAATGCGACGGTAAAGCACCGAAAAAGTGATATTATTGTAGATGTTAAATTTAAGACATTAGTCTGAAAAAAAAATGAAAGATCAATTAATTCTTACAAATGGAACCAATTAAAATGTTCTTTTGTGATTTTTTTTTAACAATACGTATTAAATTCATTTAATATCTAAATTCGTTTTCTTTCTCTGGAAAACACGTTTCAAAAATTGATGTCATAAAATATGGTAATTTGTACCTTAACATTTTTATTTATGTATCAAGTCATATGTCTTACATTGGAATATCTCCTATCGTCTATCAGATGTAAACGTCCTTCCAAACGTATTGCTTTGTTAAGTTCGTCATTTCCCTTCGTGTATAATCTAAATAAACTATGTACTACTTTAATGCTATGTAAATAATATAAAAATAGGATAAAGAAATATGAGATAACTATAAAGTGCCAATGAAGATGCTATTATAAGAAGTTTTAATGTAAAGTAACATTTTGCATTATGTTATTTTTCTTTATAAGGCTGGGTGCACGTGTACGGTTTCATGATTCGATTTCCTAATCAGGAATTTCGATTTGGAGATCTGAAAGCATGTCTTAACATAAAAATTGTTCGACGACGTGCACACAATTCTTATTTTCTCAGAATGGAAAAAACCTAAAGTTCGTTTCGGAAGTGACCTAATAAAAAAATTGAAACGTTTGCGCTAGGCTCGCGAAATTCCGAATCTGAATTCCTGAACAGGAAACCGTGCATATCCGCCCAGCCTAGGTATCTAACATTTTTCCTTTTTACACCTAAAGAAAACTTTAGCTAGGAGAAAATCAAATCGTACCCAGGGTATCAGGCTGAAATTTACGCTGGTTGCCGGTGTTGAATGGTAGCAAAAGACGCTGGTTCCTGTTCAGCCTTGAGTTACCTAATTGATTTCTAGTTTTTTTTTTCTTCACTTATAATATTTGAATGAAATACACTCCAAACATAAAATAGTTAAATAACTAACTACTTTCGAATTCTAAGTGCTGCAGCAGTTTAATATAAAATTCAATTACTATTATTCCTACAAGATGACTTGAAAGAACTCACTTTTGTTTTGTTTAATTAAACGTAGGCCACAACATCGGTTGTGAAAGGAGGTTTGTTACGCTCAACTACTAAAATAATACTATTTTGCTAATAAAACCCAAGTACGAAAATATTTTAGCAGTGATATGTGTTACCAACACGAAAATTACTTTAAAAAAAAAAATGGTTGCCTGTAAAGTCGGTTTTACGGGCGAAGATTTTACGTGACAACGTCTTTTTCTCGGTAGAATATTTATTGATATGAATATAATTAAATTGCACAATAGGAACAAGGAATTGAATGAAAATAAGAATTGCACAAATTTTAACTATAGAAATATATTTTGTTTACTAAAACATTGTACATGTAAACTTAAACTCATCGTAACGTTACCGAGCGTTACACTTTTTCATAAGTGACTCCCAGCCGCAACCTAATTTAAGACGTTGTCACGTCAAAAAGGTATTATTAGGCTTTAATTTTTATGCTACTTTTTTTTAAGAAGAATCTATTTTTTATCTATGGAAATTTTCGATGCGACGTTGTCTTGGTATGATGTTAATTTAGATTGATTTTATGGCTAAATGAAAACTGTGTTTCTTTTGTATTTATTAACTAATATATTATGAATGAATTAAGAACTGAAGAAGTGATTATCCCCGAGCTTGGTGGGTGTCATCCACATAATTTTAAAGTCGATTTACGAACACGTAATTTCATTCAGCTATTATAAACTCGAATTGACAGCAACAGTTCATAATTTAAAAATTGCCTTAAGCCAAAACAAGCTGATAAATTCCGAACGATATTGTTATCCAAAGGTTGTATATTTCACCAATAAATATAATAACTAATTTAATGTGAAATAATTTTATATAAGCTATTTTTATTATATTGATAGAAGTCCAATTTCACTTGAAACCTGTTTTAATGGAATTGGTATTTACGTAACGTGTTTTTGTTGTGAAACGAACAGTAGTGCAATTCTGTAAAACCCATAATCTCATCTCACTGTGTGTGTCGGATCCATTTTGCTTTCGCTCTCTAGGTTTCGATTCACGGAATTTTCGCATTCTGTAACCAATTGTACAAGCAAGTGAAGCGAGATGTCATTCATATCCTAAGTAATTTGTAGTGTTACCATTTTAAAAGTTTTTGGTAAATCGAGATATATCGACTTAGTTATTATGCGTGAAAAAAAGCACGTAAATTTATTTTTTAGATATATTTGTAGATATGAGGCTCAAGTCTAAAGTTTTAATGAATGTAAAGTTAAAATAGTCTTATTTTTAAAGTTTGGTAACTTGGCCGAATGAGGGCTTACTCTATGCACATCTCTGTAATCGAGTGAGAATCGACACTGGCGCTACTAAGTGAGAGTGGCGGTTTAGTAAACTATCACAGGTGAGACCATATCATACCTAAATGGCTTTGACGTTTCAATGGCATTCTGTAACGAATTTCAGCGCTTGTTTACACCTCACATTAAAAACCGCACTCGAAAGTAACTGTCAAAATAAAAGTTACTCATTAGCTGCGGTAATAGAAGTGATTGTACGAAGTGAGTATTTCTGTAGACTATTATCATCATAAAACAAGAGTAATTATTAAATTATTTATAATTACGTTGCTTTTGTTTATTTAAGTAATAATTCTTTAAAATTATGTCTATCTAGTATTTCATATGACTCACTCTATTACTTGCTTTTTACTATAGAAAGCCCATGTATGATGTAGATTTGGCCAGAAGCCGCCTACAAGCCCAATTTCTGTGTAACCTTGAGTAATTTCATGTGAAGATGAATATGTGACTAAATAAAGATTTTTTTCAACAATTGGAAAATGATTTAAAGTATTCATTTAGAAGAAACCAAGTGTAATGGAAAAGGATTATCCAAT